AAAAAAAATCGGTACTCGTACACGATACCGAAAAACCGGTATTGGTGCATCCTTAGTTTTGATTAAAACTATTTTTTGTATTGGGACAAGTAGATTGTCGTTAAGGACAAGTAGATTTGGCCCCCACTTTAGCCCTTGGACAAGTAGACACTCCAAGGTGATCTGATTTTTTTTTGTCTAAATTTTTGGGGAAATGAAGAAACATGCCGGTATTGAGGGGGTTAAAACATGGAGCTTGGTAATAGTCCACAAGATAAAATAAAAGTACAAGTCATAGATAGAGGAAGGCAGAGGTGAAGGGGTTTATGTACAGGTCACATACAGTGGGAGGATGGGGATGAACGAGTTAATCTATAGATGTGAAGGATAAGGAAGATGAAAGGGTCAATATACAGGTCAGAGCAGAAACAGAATGCAGATAACTAGGGCCCCAACTAATGATTATTATCATAATCGATTAGTTGGCCGATTATTTTTCCGGTTAAAGCAGATTAAAAAAAAATACCATCCTTAATTTAAAATAAAATACACAAATGGAGTGTTACAAAGTCTACTTCAGAATAAAACAGCATGCACAATTTTTTGCAAATCGCACTGCACTGGAACGTACAGCATTGCAGTACCGTGCGTTCCAGTGCGGGTGATCACACTGTGGGTGGGTGGCACATTTGGGGTGCCTTTGAAATTAATGGCACAGCAACGCACCTCCCGCAGAAGAATGTCAGGCAGAAACCAAAAATTACTTTTTTCCACTTCCATAATTTAAAAAAATAATATTGTAAGCACATGGAGCTTGAATAGCTTCAGCCAGGAAATGACAGTTGCCAATGACAAGATTCCGCAGACGGCAGCTGAATGTGAATACAGCAGGTAGTGGGATGGTGCAATAGCCAGCCTGCTATTGGCCATTTCAAATTGCAATAGCAAAAATCAGGCTGGCTATTGCACCTGCCCACTGCTTGCTGTGCCCCCCCCCCCATCATGAAGGAGAGCGTGAGGGGATCCAACCAACTAATTGATAATGAGAATTGACAACTATTATCAATCTAATAATCGATTAGTTGGTTGCAGCCCTATAGATATAAGCAGGAAAAGCTTGTTTTCACACTAGTAAGTAATGAATGGATGACTCATCCATTCATAACTCACTTTACTCTTCCCTGTCTCCCATGTAAGAGGAAGGGGAGGGCTTGGCAATGTAAATTGCCATGTGATCGATATAACAGCGATCACAAGACACAGAGCCGGACCACACACACATGCGTCCACAGTAGGATGCACAGGTACATGCGCCCAGACGAATGCACCAGTTTTAATACAGTGGCCGGTCCACAGGTGGTTAAAGAGCTTTTAATGCTTGTTGGGAATATGTCAATATTTTTTGATGAGTTCTCAGTTCACCTTAAAAATATATATTTTATACTATATTTGCTTTTCTAAAACTCAAGAACAAATTTTCTACTTTCAGAAGAATAAAAATGTGTGGGCAGGGTTAAAAAAACAACAACACCGTAACAAACTGAAGAACAAAAGTAAAGTGGTTGCAAAAGGCAAACCAGTCAGGTTTCACCTATTCTAAAGTTTGTGATTGCGGCAGTTAGCTGCTATTTTTCTCCAGTTTCTAGTACAGGACAATTATTAACTTACACAACATTTT